GCTGAGGCTCGCCCGCCACTCTGACGCCTCCTTAACTTCCCGCATCCTCCTGAGTAAGTCCCTCTGGACTCCAGAGCGGACTAACTTTTTTTTTCTGGGGTGGAAAAAAAGCATTCGACTAACACGCCCTGCCTTCCCCCAGCTTTCAAAGATGGAAGGCTGCCTTTCCAAAGCAGCGCGCGTAGGCCTTAGCAGCCCGGCTTAAGCGGGATGGATTTCCGCGTGCGGGATGAAGGAAAGTCAGGCTAGACCAATAGGAGCAAGCGAAAAAGCGAGGGTAGCAAGTCGCCTTGGATGGCAGAGAGCGGGGTCCACCCCTGAAGCGTATTTTTAAGGCATCCATCTCCCTCCCCTTCTGAACACGTGTCCTACCGGGGTGCACCCCGGATCCTCCCTACGCGATCCAAATTCCTTGGTGGCGGGGAAAGGTTGAAACGGGACTTCTGGGCCTGCAGCCTGAGAAGGGAATTAGGAAGAGGGGAAAGCCTTTATTTAAAATCCCAATTGCTAGACACCCCTCCATGCACGCAGGCACCCCGCTCGCAAACAATCAGCGAACTCGCTAGATTCGCCAACCCAAAGCAGAAAAGCTCCCACTTCGGCATTTACTGTATTCGAGTCGCCCTCCACTTCGGGGGAGATCCGGGGGATCCCATCCCAAGAAAGCTTCCTTGGAGGCCACTTCGGCTTGAAAAGGAAGAGGTAAATTCTTGAGTAGGAAGGGGATCGCATTTCCCAACGCCGACCCACACACCCACCGCTAGATCCTCGACACACGCTTTCTTGCGGAGGTCCTCTCTTGACTTCCAGGCTGGTAAACTGGCCGTGGAGCCGGCCAGAAATAACGCGCAGTCTACAGAAGCGTCTCCTTTAAAGAGCGTGTGCCCTGCGTTGGACCGTGGCTGTGGCGTTAAGTTTAATGTTTTGTTTAGTTAGCCCCACCCAAAAAATCTTGCGGACTTTCCAAATGCGTTGATTCCGAGGGAGCTCCTTCCCACGGCAAGGGCTGTTGGAAGCAGATCGCGGGTTGTGGGGAGTCTTAAATGCGCCTTTTCCCGCGAAAAGAATTCCTGTATGCCTGTGGCATCGGGGTCCCGAAGGTCTGCTGGGACGTTGACTGATTCTCGCTGGGATTCTTAGGCAAGTTGGATCGGCCGCCCTAAACATGATCTCTCAAATTACGCAACTAAACTGGTTTGGGCGTAGTGGTGACTTCTTATTTAAGGTTTGCAAAGCCTTCTATGTTGGGTTAGAGCCTCAGAGTCAGCGCACGCCGCTTCATTTTTTAAGAAGATCAATGAGCCCCCATACTCAAACAGGTCCTCCTTATGACTGACTGTTGCAGCCTCTTTCCATGAATAAGTCCCACGGAACCCAGTCAGTCCTTGCTGCCAAATTAATATGCTTAGGTCAGCAGGCGGCTCCTGTGCATGTTTACTCGGAGGTAGGTCTCACGGAGTCCGGTCGAGCTGGTAGCCAAGCATTGACTTGTCCCAGCCTAGAGACCGGTGGCACCACCATGGAAGAATCTCAAGTACATTTGTTCCTCCATCCTGATGCTGCGATCCTCTGCACACTAGGGAGAAAACCTAAGGAGCAAGCATGGATAGGATCGAGCTGTTAAATCTGCTTTCTTGGAAACTAAATGGATTTGAAGCCTTAATTCGAACCTTTATCAGTGGCACATATCAATACTGATCGAAATGGTGCTGGGATGGAGCCTTACTCTGCTGAGGGTTACTCAGCCATGTAAAGCTGCGGGAGAACTCAAAGAGACACTCAGCTCACAAACGTTTGTAGTTTTTAACCTCTCACAGAGCTGCAATTCCCAGCGCCCTTAAGGAACTACAGTTTCCGGGGTTCTTTGGGCGAAGTCATGAATTTGAAATGAGTGGCGTGTAGGCAACCTGATTCTCAGTCTTCTAACAAAATGTGGTGGAGTATAATGAGATGTTCAAGGGGGAGCCTGGCCCGAGAGATGGTCGCAGAGTCTCCCCTATTGGGGCTGCAGCTCCATTAACTGACTTCCGAGTAAATATATAGAAGGAGGCTGTAAGTCTCCTGGCTTGCGGCCTTGTTTGCTTTGAGGAGGACAGGCACGTGGGAATGTTCTACACGTTCCTGTCCGTGGAATCTTCAGGAAACGCTTAGGGTGGCGTGGGACTTTGGGAGAAAAGGCAGCACCGCACCTCCCGATCCCATTCATGTTTACTGGGAAGTCCGACCCACCCAGGAGCGCAGCTTAAGGTCTTGTCTTGTGCAGACGGACTTAATCAACCCTACTCTGAGCTGCATATGACATTCCCCAGGGAAAACACGCACAGCACCCGGGTGATGCATAGCTGCAATCCTATACTGTGCACGCTTCCCCCGGAGCAAAAAGTCCCTTCGGCTCAGCAGCGGGGATGAATTGGGGTGCAAATGAGACTATCCGGGCAGCCAGGGTTCCTCGCCACCACAGCTCCCCTTTGAAGGCGTTTGGGGGTTTGCTTCCAAGTAAACATGATCGGGATTGGAGCATTACGTGAAGCCAAGGGCCGCCCAGCATTTTCTCCTCCAGTAGCATCAGGCGGCTGCTGAGCTAGGCCGGAGGTTGAGGGCCCAGACCAGGGCGCCTACCTGGTCAGGTTAAACAAAGCAGCTTAACTGTCACGGGGATCGCAGCGTGCAATCGAACCGCAATCGGCAGCCTGCCCGCCAGCCTCCTACCGCCTCTCTCCGGATGGGCACGACCAGCCTCTGCTTCCCCTCCCCCCCCAAAAAAATATTTGTTTTGTTTTAAAGTTGTGCCTCAGTCTCCTAGCAGTACTTACAGCGCACCCAGGGAAATTAGGTAGGGACAACTCATGAACCATTATTATAACTATGATTCCTTGAAGCGACTGGGAAAGGATCCACCTCGGGTTGTTGAACAGCCTTCCTTCTGAGGGGACCTGCTTCCAAGTAGCTGAGCTTAAAAGCACCAGGGGGAAGCGGTCCGTCCCCCCATGCACTAGATTCGCCTAGATATCCGTAACACTCCCCTCTGCGCGTTTCCTAATTTCATGCCTCTCCAGCAGGGCCCTCCCCCCTCCTTCCTTTGTGCTTTAATTCCTCCTTCCCCCCAACCCCCGTGGACACACAGAAGCACATTGTGTAGAGCAGGCTAGAATCAAACATTTGCAGCGGTGTTATTTGCTGGAATTGTGACGCCGCGTATTTTTCAGCCGCCCTTCAATCGTACTCAACCAGGGCGGTGAACCAAAATATATACATATATAAACAATGGACATGTACAGAGATAGAAAGTAACAGGACCTAGAGAAGGAGGTGTTTCAATTTTAAAATTAGTTTAAAAATATGCCTCTTTCTTTTAATATATGTGCGCAATATATTTCATTTACCGTTTCCAGTAACCAACATTCCCTTCTTCTCTTTCTCTTTCTGTCTCTGGGTTTTTGCAGATGACATTTGTTCCCAAAGAAGGAGAGAAAACGGACAATCTAGAGAGAGACTCTGCACTTGGACTCGGCTCCCCTCCTTTGTTTTTCTCTCCCCCCCTTTGTTCCCTCTAAGACAATATATAACGCCAAGGATTTTCTTGGAAATTGAGCGGCGTTCTTGGCCCACGTTGCAAGGAGCAGGGCGTTGGGAGACCAGGAGAGGCGAGAGACCCGGGGGGGGGGGCTCCTCGGATGGTGAGGCGGCTGATCCAGAAGCGGCCAAAGGGCAAAACCAGACATCTCTGCATTCTGATCAAAAATCTGAACCGGTTTTATTTTTATTTTTCTATTTTGACGAAGAATGTTGGAATTTAACTTTTTTTTCCTCTTTACTTCCTTTTTTTTTGTTGTTCTTGCATGCATGCATTCCCAAGAGAGTTTATGAGCCACTCATGAAAGGAAATACGTTACTGTGGACTCCCCCCATTCCCCTCGCTCTCTTTTTGGAACAGATCTAATGACAGAGAAACCAGGAAAAAACCCGTTTAGAACGAGTGAGAAAGGAAAAAATATTTTTTAAGAAAATATGTTTAGGGTAGCTATGCATTATGGGCTCCAAAACTCTTATATCCTGCTCCTCTTTCATTTATATTTTATTTTTCCTGCAAGAAAAAAAAGGAGGGGAAAATGGGGTGGGGGGAGAGCGAGAGAAAAAAAAATGAAACATTCTATTTATTTATTGATGACCCATGTTAAAAAAAAATGCAAATAGATCCGGTGTCTAAATGCATTCCTATTTTTATGATTGTTTTGTAAATATCATTGTATATTTTTTTTCCTGCAATAAATAAATTGAAATGTTAAAAGAATTTTAAAGTTTGGTCTGTACGGAGGAAAGCGGGCTTGAAACTGAAGGTAAATAATGCTCGATCGCGTAGATCTGAAATTACCCAGGAGAGTAAGGGGCCAGGGTCAGAGATGGGGGGAGGGAATATAAACAAACGAGAGAAAAACGCAAATAAACTAGCTACTGACAGACACATGAGTGTTAATTATCGAGACAGCTTTATGATTCTGCTTGAATGTTTTGCAGGACTTCGGATTCTCTCCCCCTTTTAATCAAAATAGCGAATTTTATAATGGTAATGTGTAGTGTGTTGTTATTATTTATTATTATTATTATTATTATTATTATTATTATTATTATTATTATTATTATTATTATTATTATCATCATCATCCTCATCCTCCTTCGATCTAAATTAAGAACCACCCATCGGTCTGCATGCAATTTCTCCACCGCTGTGTTTCTTGTTATCTCGGGCGGGGGGGGGGGAGCAGATAAAGGTGCTCAGCGGTCGCGTAGCTATTTGTGTTTGTTGAGGGTTTAGGGCGGAATGGAGGTTGATTGAAGCCCATCCATAAACCAAATGCATCCAGAGTTTTGTTTTTGTAACGAATTAAGTCGGGAGCAGGGAGTGGGTGGTGGTTTTTCACACCTGCCTCCAGAAACGTGTGTTCGAAAGTAAGCCGGGGGGGGGGAGAGAGAGAGAGATCGCATTGATTTTGCTGGGACTGACTTCCTCGGATCAGGCACGCTGGCTTTCCAAGGAGAATTGGCGAACCCTTGACGTACGCGGCGTTGCAGATAGATGACCGAAAGTTTGAGCCTCAGACTTGAGGTCTTCAGACTCTGTGTGTGTGTGTCCCCTCACCCCCCGATTGTTTTGTTGCCATCGATCAGACAAATAGACGGTGCTGCCGCAGAAGGAACTGGACGACGAATGTCCATGCAGGAAAACAGCCCACGTCCAACTCAACGCCTTGCAAGCAAATAAGCCCCCATTCATTCGGAGGGAGCTTTGCTTCCAAGCAGCGTGTCCGGCTATAGCAACAGCCCAGCGGTGATCAAAACGGTGGCTCGGAGGCGAGCGGCTTACTCCAGGAGTAGGGAAAACCAAGGTCTCCGATTTCACTGCTTTTCTTTTTTTTAAGGATCAGTTTTTATGTTGTTGTTTCACACCAGGCGAACAAATGGCACGTCGGGCAACCCATGGGCTCGCCTTATCCCTTCCCAAGTGACGCCCCCACCCCAGCCCCTTCATTCCACTTTATATAAGCCGAAGTAGAGGCACTCCCGATCTGATTGACACGGTTGGGTGCGACGCGATCCTCCCCGCGGTGCCCATTAGACAGAAGCCCGTTGCGAACGTCGAGTCCCGAGTTGGTGCCTCTAGCATTTCTCAAGCCAGAGGCTTCCTTTCGTGTAAACGTGCAATATGATCCGGCAGCACATCTCTCCCGCCCCAAAACTATTCGGATCGGATCCAAAGCGCCTTCTGACGCCGACCTACGGTTCAGATCCGCGCGTGTTTACACTAGAGGAAGCGAGCTGCCTGCCATGCAAAGCGGTCCTTGTGTTGAAATGGAAGCATCTGGGAGGTAGCAGATGCCAGTTTGCTCTGCCTTAACCATGTCTGATTACTCTGGTCGTATAAATAAGCCGGGCTGGTCCCCCTCATCCCAACCATCCCTGTTTGTTTTGCTCAGGTTCGGGTTGACGTTTCCGGATGCCTTGTTTACCTTTCCCTGGCCATCCTTAGGCCACCTCTCGCCGCCTTCCCCAGCTCCTCACGGTTCTCGCCATCGGCCGTGTCGGGGGCCGGTGAGCGCTGTTGACAGAATTTTTAAAATAAATAGATAAACGGCAGAGTTTATTTGTGTTTAAGGGGATTAGCCAGGACTTTGACAAAACTGGATTTGAGGCTTGCGGAGGTCCACCTCCCCACCCCACCCCCGTCAGAAGGAGGAAGGGTGCCCTCGGCAGTGTCGCCCAGCAAGCTTTGAAATCGACTGGATTTCCCCAAATGAAGTGGCCTGAGATTGCAGAAGATCTTGGGGGGCAGTTCCGACCTCGAGGAGAGCTAGAAAGCAGAGAGCAAGAATCAGAGCATGGTCTGTGCTGTTGAAAAAAGGTAAGCTACAAAAACCTTTGTCTAGTGACGTCTCCCTCTTGAATGGACTTGATCCTAAAAGTTGTCTCCGATTGGCATTTATCGGTGGAGATGGTGTGCGGTAGTTGCCATTGGTTTTTCAGGAAGCTTGTTTCTAAATCTATGGATCAACCATGTAAATCTGACGCTCACGCCCCACGCGTGAAATTCGAATTCATTCATCTACTCCGAGAGGAACTGGTTTCTGTTCGGTTCCTCGGACTGCAGGCGCTTGCGAGCAGTAAGTCTTCCCCTTGGATTCAGTGGGGGTCAATGTGCACAGGATCACGCTGTTTAGTACTGTATCTCGGGTCCCCACACATGGGACTAACCCTTTTTGAATCCAGTGGGACGTACTTCTGAGCAAACGTTTAGGCCTACACGCCTTCCTGTTTTTTTTCAGCCTAACTTTCTTCTAAGAAAGTATGTTCAGGATGGCTGTTTAGGGCTCCAAGGCTAAAATGCACTTCCTGGGGAGCTGAGCCCCTTTTGAACCAAATAAAGATGCACAGAATTATCTCAGCCTCGGAAGTAAGGCCTGCTGATTTCCCGCGGAACTGATTTCAAAGTACTCTCGTTTCTAAAGGCTGCCTTAGGCTCTGGCGCTGAAAGGAGATCCGATGTCATTCTTTGCATACTTCTGTGCGGAAGTGAGGGCAAACACCAGTGGGATTCGCTTCCAGGTAAAAGGCGTCCGGGTGCCTGCTTCGGTTTCATTGGGCGTGCTTGAAAATACAGGCGACTTTCACTGGGATAGGAGCCTTGAGATGTTATTCGTTGTGCTGGAGGGTGGGGAGAACGTCCATCACGCCTGGAGAGGGTTTCCAACTAGGGCAAAGAGTGGAGAACTGGGGACCTTCCAGAATATTGTTTGGACTCCAGCTCCAATCACCCCTGACCATTGGCCACGATGGCTGGGACTGATGGGAGATGAAGTCCAACAGGCCACCGTCCTCCCTCCCCTTTCTGAAAAGGGGCCAGAGGCACCTTTCTCTTCCACTCTCTTTACGCTGGCTGGCTGGTGGTATTGGTATCCTTCCTTAGTAAAGGATCATAGATTTGTAGATATCCGGTTCTTTTATTTCACCCCTTGTTCCTTTCAGAGAGGGGAGGAGCATAGGAGCCAACTCCTGGGCGCCAAGGTCCCCTCAGCCCCCCAGTAAAATATTTGAGGGGGCCATGCTCCCCTCAAAGTTGATGGCCATTGTCATTCAGATGGTGTACATACGCCGAGTCTTGTGATTGATTATGTGGGGCAGGGTTTACCTGCCCCCCACCCTAATATTTTATTCAAGTTGGCACCCCTGGGAGGGAGGGAGAGGATGCTGCCGTCTCAGTCGAGATGGCCCTTTAGGGAAATGTTTGGGATTTAGGACATTGTGGGATTAGCTCAAGCAGGAAGGCGTTCGCTTGGTATACTAAAGAGCCATAGGATGGATTCTCGCATTCTCCAGCTCGCCACCTGCTTTGGGTATTTTGGGGGCCGGTGCAGACTGCTGTTCCTGAGAGACCAGGGTTCAAGTTCGCACCCCACAGGAGCCAACTCCTAGGTGCCGATGTCCCTTCGCCCACCCCACCCCAAATAAAATATTTGAGGGCTCTGACCTCCTCAAAGTTGATGAGCAACGGTGTGTGTGCTCCCTGTCTTGTGATTATGTGAGGCGGGGCTTACCTCTCCCCTGCCCTCATTTTTTTATTCAAGCTGGCACCGCTGCCCCCCTCAATGGTGATGGCCACTGGGTGACTTAGGGCTAGCCACTGTCTCACAGTTTCACCTAACTTGCAGGGTTATTGTGAGGATAAATTGGAGGAAAGGTGATCCATAGATGATAGATAGATGATAGATCTCTCTGTGTGTAACATAAAAAAACAAGGATGGCTATAGTTTTCTGAGCATTGAGAAACTCGCTGACAATTGGTGGGAAGAGTCAACGCTGCATTTGGAGCAGCCAAACTTTTGTGACTTCTCTCTCCCCCCGCCCCGCCCCCCAAGCCTTGTACGTTCCTCACCCACTGATCTGCTTCCCCATAAGGAAGCCGGCCATGTTTGGTTGCCATGGTGTTCATCCTCTTGCGAAACAGGGCTCTGATGACTGGCGAGAGGACTTGGACCACTCAGAAACCTGGAAGAAGACAAATGAATTCTGGGATACCCCCCCCCCCAGCAACCCACTTCACACACACATACCTCCCCTTTAATTTTGCAAAGGCTCCTGGGACTTTTTCTTTTCTTTTCTTTTTGCCAATCAAAGGTGGGGAGAGCGAGGGGGCTCCGGCTGCCCGTGGCCTGGTGCAGGGAATGGAGTGTGCGGCGCTGGGGCTGTTGCTACTGCCCTAGAAGCAAAGCAACCTTTTGCTGCAACTTGGCCCTCGCGCGCGCTGGAGAGCGAGAGAGCGAGAGAGAGCGCCCGCGGAGCCTTCTTGCACATTCCACGGTTTGGCAAACGCCGATCTAGTTATTTTCTCTAGTCCAGTATCAAATTCTTCTCAGGCATACGATTTCACTTGAAGTCCTGCCCAGGAATCCTTCAAAGTGAGCGTTTGTCCCCGCTCTCATGATGTCAGGCGGTTTTTCCCTGCATCTGTAATCTTTTTTTAAAAAAGTTTTTTTTGTTTTTGTTTTTTGAGGGGCGAGGGGAGATGAAAAACAAACTTAAATGTGCGGGAAAACAACAAATGTTAGGGAAATCCAAGCAGATCCAATGAAAAGGCGCGTGTATTTGGGTGGCGTTGGTGGTAGTGTTTGTGCCTAAATCTTAACTTCGTCCCATGCAGTGACGGGGCTTTGGGCTGGGCGGTTTGGGTGGCGCTGTCCTGGGCATGTTTACACGCGAGTAAGCCCTTCTGATTTCCATGGGGCTTGCTGCAAAGTAAAGGGCTGCGAGGACTGCTGTTTTAAAGGACGATCCTAGGCAGGTCTACTCAGAAGTCAGCCTCCTTGAGATCAGCAGGGCTTACTCGAATGTAAGGGTGCACAGATACTTTAAAGACACGGGGCCCCTGCAGATGTCTTTTCACTACCCTTATCGTTAGTACTTATCACGGTGGTCGTGTTTTCAATACTTTTTGCTCCTGCAAACGTTTCAGGGTATGCATGCTGCGTTTCCAATTGGTGCATGTCTCGTAACTTTTTATGCCCCAAATATTCCGGGTTTGTGTGCCTCTTTTGTTGAGCTATAGCGGAAGAGCGTCCCTGCAGACCGCGCTAATGCTGTAAAGTTGGGAAGACACTGCAGAACAACGAATAAACCGGAATACTGTGTGGATGGACCAGTGGAACTCCACCAGTAATTCAGTATTATTGTGTCAACGATGGCACGTTGCAGAATACACACCCACACACAAACCAGTCTGGAGGGCCAGGTCCACTGGGATACCCTTAATTTTCATTTCCAGAGGGGTTGTATTCGTCTGTTGCAACACAAGCAGTTAAGAGTCTTGTGGAGCAGTGACAAATTCATTATGGCATAATCGTGGAGTAGAGCTTACCTCGAAGTAAAGGGGTGCTGGACCGCAGCCCTGCTTGGGAACAGGTTCAGGAAATGGATGGAATATTCTGAGTAAATAAGTGGGTGGGTTTTGGTTTAGGCGGGTATCTAGGTTTAGAAATCCTAATGTTTCGAGAAGACGCGTTTTGGATATTAAGAATGTAATGGGGTATATGATGAGCGGCAGGAGACCCTACCTAAGACACCCAAACCGAAGCAATTACGTTATATCAAACGATGCAATCCGTTAGCATGCAAATATTAGGGCCCTGGGGGAAAACAACCCTCATCAATTTATATTATATTATATTTATTTAACTGGATTTATATACTGTACCACACAATCCTCATAACCTCTAAGCGGTTTACATAAATTATGCATTATTGAGTTAACTCAAAAGTGTCCTATTATTCACCAGGATTCATCGTAGGGTACACTTAAAAGGTAAAGGGACCCCTGACCATTAGGTCAAGTCGCAGAGGACTCTGGGATTGCGGTGCTCATCTCGCTTTACTTGCCGAGGGAGCCGGCGTACAGCTTTCGGGTCATGTGGCCAGCATGACTAAGCCACTTCTAGCGAACCAGAGCAGCAGGAAACGCCATTTACCTTCCCGCCTGAGCGTTACCTATTTATCTACTTGCACTGCGTGCTTTCGAACTGCTAGGTTGGCAGGAGCTGGGACCAACAACGGGAGCTCACCCCGTCGACCTTCTGATCTGCAAGCCCTAGGCTCTGTGGTTTAACCCACAGCGCAAGCCGTGTCCCTTGTAAGTACACTTACTGGAGAGTAAATCCCACTAAATGCAATACTTACTTTTGAGGAACTACATACGTAGAAGCCCTCTGGTAGAGCAATCCGGGTGGGGATCGCAGCTGGAGTGTCGGAAAGAAAATCCCAGGGCAGTCAAGCAAACATATTTCGAAGTAATATGTGTTCAATATTTAAGCAAGGAGACCTACTTTCCTAGTCAATATAAATATGATTACCGTGGCTGTGTAGCACACCATACATTAAAAGCACATATAAAGCGTACTCCCCAGGAATCCTGGCAACTGTAGTTTGCCCATCGCAGCACTGTAATTTGCAGCACCCTTAACAAATTCCAGTGCCCAGGATCCTTGGGGGGTGGGTGCTTTTAACACATATATATGCTTACGCCGCCCCTGTGTGCTTGACTGAGGTTGTAAACTGAGACTCAGGTTGTAAACCTGAAAGTCACCTTACCCTGAGTCAGACCAGAGAGAGGTATGATTTGGGGATAGCTCACGTTTTATTTGTGGGGTGCTGCTGAGACTTGTAAATCTCAGCTCTTGACTGAGGCTGTTCCCGCGGCTTTGGGTTCAGTGAGAAACTCGTGGGAAAGAACCCTCTCATTCGAGTACTGCCTGGAAAATCGTTTCAGGGGCCACTCTCCTGGTTGCTACTGGACTCCAACTCCTATCGACTGGGGCTGATGGGAGTCGGAGTCCAGCAAAAGCTGGAGGGGCCGCA